CTCTGGTCTGTAGCAGTGTGCATGTTCCAGTTTAATCCAATTTGTAAAGTAGAATTGAGGTCATGATTGGGGCGGGGGAGGGGAGCATTAAAGAACTGGAGGCAAGCCGTATGCATCCATGCTATACTGTACTCTGAGTGGCTCATCTCTTCCTTGTGACCCTTCTGTAAGGGGATGTCCAATTGTCTACAGATGGGCAACCTTTAAAGGAAAAGTCCAAGCAAGAGAAAACTTCTCTGATGTGGAAAAATCTAGCCAGGGGAAGTGCATGCATACACCTTGGCTTTCGTCCAAGGAAGGGAAGGGATCTGTCACTGGGAGCTGCCGGAGCAACCTGGGCCTTTCCTGAGATTAGCAGACAAGCAGCTCTGCTAAGGCTTTCTGCAGTGATGGAAAAGTGGGGGAAGGAGAGAGAGACACTTAAAGTCTAATTAGACACAGGAAAGTCCAACCAAACATCGGACACCCTTGAAAATGCCTGAGTTCCTTCTAGAATCTCCACAGGAAACACCACCTTCTGTCACCTCCTCCTCTGCCCACAGCGCCTCTAATCAAACCTACTTCTCTCAAGCACAACCTTCAGAGCCAGGTATGGTCGCTTTTGTTTTCATCTGCCATTTTTCTCCTTTAATGACTTCTATTGCTTTCCACTCATTTTTGCTGTCAAAGGATGGCAATTTTAGCCATATCGTGAGTGAAGTTAATGCCCTAGCCTGGGAACTTGACCTTCATTTACATTTTGTTTCCATGGGAAATGAGCTTTTGACTAACAAGCAGCCAATTAAAAAGTTCAGGGCACAGGCTTTCAGTGACAGGGTCATGTGGTGACATTGCCAGTGGACATTCACCTTAAACTCGAGGAGGAGGACCAACTATAGGTTAGTAATCAGAATGATACAAGTTATATTTATCAAAGGCTTACTGTGTGCCAAGCGCTGTCCTAGGTTCTTTATAGGGACAACCATTCGTCTTCATGGTAAGGGCATGAACTGGGTGACAGTTTTAATCCTGACCTGCTGATGATAATCTGGATGGGAATAGCGGTTAAGCAGCTTCTGTAAGGTCGCCCTGCTAATGACATTGGACCTGAGACTTGAACACAAGAATTTTGGCCCTGAGCCATTGTTCTTTTGCCCATGATTTCACTAACGAACTAACCAGTTGTTACTGAGGCAATTCCAGCCTCCTGTGTGTCAGCATTTTCAATGACTGATGTTTCCCAAATGCATCGCCAGACCTTTCTTCCAAGGTGAATCTAGAGGGTTTGAACCTCCAACCTTGTCGTTATGTTAAGCACTAATGCCACCCAGGGGCTCCTAGTCCATCTTCAGGTAGTGTTTAGCACGCCCATTTTCAGGACCACCTACCTGTGACTGTGCTGAGTCTAGCAGCCAGGGTAGCAAATTCCAGCGCTTTCTCGTAGCCCTCAAGGCTGATCTGCAGCTCTGTCAATTTGTTAAAAATTCGGAGCTCAGTTCTGACTGCCTTCATCCTCCTCGCTAAAGGAACAGCCCCAACCTAAGAACGGGAGCACAAGAACTTTCATAGTGTTGCTAAGACCCACCAGGACAGACTCTGCACCAGGGGGCTTCAGGACAGCGGTTCTCAAGCTGTGGGTCAAGACCCCTATGGGGGTTGAACAACCCTTTCACAGGGGTCGCCCGATTCATAACAGTAGCAACATGACAGTTCGGAAGTAGAAACAAAAATAATTTTATGGTTGGGGGTCACCACCACTTAAGGACCTGTATGAACGGGTCGGGCATGAGGAAGAGTGAGATCTGCTGCTGTAGGGGAGGGCAGGGATTATGGGGAGGAAATGAGGAGGACCATGGCTCCGTGCCTGTCTTTTCTCCTGGTGGCTTTGCCCAGCTCTCAGAAGTGGAAGAGCTAAAGGTCAACACAAAGTTGGGGAACTGATAGCAAGGACGTGTTTCCAAGACCACCTCTCAGCCATGTGCACCCACTGCAAAGAACTACATATATGGACGTAACGCAAAGGACTTCGCCTAGTGTCTGAGCATGCTGAATAGATGCTCATTTCTATTATCGTATTATTACATGGTTTTAGAGGAGCCCCCGTGGTATAGTGGTTGTGCATTAGACTGCGAACCAAAAAGTCAGCAATTTGAAAACACCAGCCTCTCCTCGGGAGAAAGTGGAGGCTTTCTACTCCTGTAAACAGTCTTGGAAACCCACAAGAGCAGTTTGATATGAGTTGGGTCAACTTGATGACAGTGAGTGATATGTGATATTAAGACAATCATATCTCTCTGCTCCTTCATTCTCTGATCTATAACATGCATGTGGAAACATGCACCTCAAGAGCCAGGGACTTGCTTCTTGTTCTCCACTGTCTACCATACCTAGTTTGGTACCAGACACATATTGGATGCTTAATAAACACTTACCACAAGGTCAGCAGTTCAAAACCACCCCCTACTCCAAGGGGGAAAAGGTGAGGTGCTCTACTCCTATAAAGAGTTACCGTCTTGGAAACCCACAGAGGCAGTTTAACTCTGCCCTATAGAGTCTCTATAAGGCAGAACCAACTCGATAGCAGCAAGTGTGCTTGTTTTTAATGTCTGATGACAAGATAAAAAATGAATGAATATCTGAATAATGAAAATTTAAGGTCAAATAAGATAATGAGGTTTTCCCAACTTTGGATTTGAACAGCAATAATAATTTTATATACCTGCTTAACATCTGGACGTTTATTTCATTAGTACTATTTTTTTTCATCATTTTGTTGGGGGCTCACACAACTCTTCTCACAATCTATCCATCCATCCATTGTGTCAAGAGTACTAATTCTTAAATTAACTTCCATCATCCTAGGCAATAATAGCCGTGAAATCATAGGTTAAATCAGCTATTACTATGATTATTTCATTTTGAAAAATACATTGTAATACATACTTAACGAAAATATAATAAAACATAATGTTCACCTCTGCTCCTCTTTAAACCATCTCCCATATTCCTTGTGTGATGCAGGAACCACCCTGGGAGACAGGAGCACATAGCACAAACCTGTGGGTGCCTTCTAGTCAGAAGGTGCAGTTGGGATGGTGTAACCCTAACTGTCCGTGGGGACATTCATGCTGCCGTGGTGCTGAGCAGCTTTCCGTGGATCTTCCAGACCAAGACAACCACGGAAGAGCGGCCCGGCAATCTACTTCGGAAAATCAGCCAACGCAAACTCCATGAACAAAAGTCTGATGTACAACTGCTCGACGGAATGGCCCGGGACCAGGCAGCAGCATTTAGGGTGTATGGGTCCACTGTGACCAGCAGCTGAGGGCAACAACAATTCCCGGTGGGGATCATTTATCACACTGTAAGTAACTGAATTTGTCAAACCCTTGTCCAAGAGCCCACTAGAGAGGGCAGGTGGGAGAAGGCTCATGGACACCAGACAAGGAAGGGAAGGAAAAGGAACACCAGCCAGAGGTGGGAGGGGGCTCCACACTAAGCCAAGTGTGGTCCTGCCAGGCCCCCAGGACTCAGTGAACTTACTCGGTAATACTCCACTGCTCGGTGCCTGTCTCGGGTCCCATTGAAGAACACATCTCCAGCTTCTTCATAGAGTCTGAGAGCTAGGGAGGTCTCGTCTGACTTCAGGGCTGTCTGGATGGCTGCCTGGGGCAGGGGTGGAGGGGCACAGAGATGGCAATCAAAATCAGAGAAGAGGCTTTTCAAATCTCAATAGGACTGGCATTAGCTAGATGCTATGTAGTTCAACTCTTGGCTGAAGTCCCCCAGATCCTGAATCATTTGTTGCACTTACAGGGCTGGTACAAAATTTTAAAGATATTTGGATCCAGGTTTCCCCATCGTGGTCAAAGATGTGCCAAACGTCACTTCTAGTGATAAGGGGGATTTTCTGTGGTACATAGGCAAATGTTTACTATTCGGTATTTAAATGTTTATTTTAATATGAGTCATGGATTGAGCTGTGTCCTGCAAACATATGAGGGTCTTCCAAAATCCAAATGAAAATTCAATTATGGTTTAAAGCTGCCTTTCCACAACCTTTTTGAAGGCTCCTTATATGTAGCAAGTTGGCCGGGCTGTGATTCTCAGAGGCTTGGCAGTCATGTAGTGATGTAATTCGGCAGTTACATAATGTTGCAATCATCCCCCGCAGCGTGAGCTGATTGGATCAGCTAATCACTTGGAGACTAGAGTGTGATGTTGTTGTTGTTGTTGTTGTTGTTAAGTGCCACCAAGGGAGGTGCAACTCTATGCACCACAGAACTAAACGCTGCCCAGTCCTGCCCCATCCTCACAATCATTCCTGTCCTTGACCCCGTTGCTGCAGGCACTGTGCCAGTCCATCGCATGCAGAGCCTTCCACTCTTTCACTGCCTCTCCCCTTGACCAAGCAGGATGTCCTTCTCCAGGGAGTGTCTCTCCTGACAACATGCCCTGAGTACGTGAGATGCAGTCTCACTAGCCCTTCTTCAAGGGAGCACTCTGGCCATACTTCCAAGACAGGTTTGTGCTTTGGGCAGTCCACGGTACTTCCAATATCCTATGCCAGCCCCGTAATTCAAATGCACAGGTTCTAATTTGGTCTTCCTTATGCAAGGTCCAACTTTCACATGCCTGAGAGACACTTGTGAGGCAAAAGTGTGACGAAGCACCCTTCCTCAGACCACAGATCTGAATGGATCCCAAGGAGAGTTCCCTTGGGATGTGGCCTGTGTCATCTCTTATCTTCCAAAACCCAAGCCCACTGTCACTGAGTTAATTCTGACCCATAGCAACCCTGATAGACAGACTAGAAGCGCCCTGCAGGGCTGACCAGACGCGAAAGCTTTCCAGGAGTGAACAGCATCACCTCTCTGGCGCCTATATGTAAATGAACTCAGGCTGCTGGCTCCAAGCTTGGCCACTTACCACCTACCCAGCCTGTCCACACACACGCTTTTGATGAAGCGTCCACTGAACCGTCGGTACATCCAGAACCAAGTGGGAATATTACCTCTCTGGTTCCAGCTGGTCCATTTAGAAGGCCCAGTGGCCTTCCGGTGAGTCCAGTCAGGAGAGTCCCTGAGAACTCCGCAGAGGCCTACCTGCAGGTACAGCTCCACCAGAGCGTCTTCCTGCATGAGGTAGTGGAGGCGCCCAGCCCCGAGCCAGGCCTCAGCCGCCTTGTCTCTCTCCCCCAGGTCAATGAAGATACGCAGGCTCTCCTTGATGCAGGTAAGGGATCTCTGCAGGGACCTGGAGGGCAGACAAAAAAACCCTCACTGCCATCAAGTAGATTCGTACTCATCACAGTGACCCTATAGACCAGGGTGGAGCTGCCCCTGGGGGGTTTCCAGGCTGCAATTCTCGATGAGAGTAGAAGAGTCCATCTTTCTTACCAGGAGCAGCCGGTGGTTTCGAACAACTGATCTTACGGTTAGCAGCCCAACGCATAACCACGACGCTACATGTGGTCATAAACATGGGGTTCACAGCGGCCTCAGATTTGGGTCACCCAGCATAGCAGGAAACTGAGGTGCTTGCTGGGAATGACTTCATCCCAGATCACAGAGCAACTGGGAACTGATCTGAATCCCCACTCTGCTCTAGCCAATTGCATCAGCTTGAGAACACATGCAGCCTCTCTGTGCCTCGATTTCCCCGTCTGTGAAATGGGAATGTATTGCCGACCATTGCTGGAAGACGCTACCGAGCTAGGAAAACTATAGTCCTTAGAGTAGTACTTGGCAGGGAATAAGCACCTAATGACGGTTTAATGTTATCTATTACTATTATTTCCTGACATGGAAATCCACATGTCTACTGCTGTATAATATTTTCTTTATAAGCACTAATACAGAATAGATCTCAGGTGAATATTTGTCAAATGGAGACATGAACAAATGACCAATCATGGTGGTAACTGCCACTTGTCTTTTAAGTTTGTCGTACTATGAGGGGGAGGGTACTTTGATGCTGGAAGTCGTGTCACCGGCATTTCAAACACCACCAGGGTCACCCGAAGTGAGCAGGTTTCAGTGCACCTCCAGATGAAGCACAGACAATGCAGAAGGACTCATCTCCCCACGTCAGAGGAAGGAGCCTCAGAAAACCTTAAGCAGAGCTTGGAATTGGCCATTTTGAGTCAGAAAAGCCTAAGGTTTCCGATGCCGGGAATACCACAATCAAGAGGAATGGTGTGGCGTTCAATGTCAAAGAGGGCACTGCAACATCAGTCATGAAGTACAGTGCTGTCTGTGATGGGATTAGCTCTCTCTGCCTTCCTCTGAAATACTGTCCCTTCCCATAGCTGGGCCTCTCGCTTCCACAAATGGACTTGATTGGCAGGTATCCCCTCCAGCAGCACAAAGAGAGCTGTACAAAATGCCGATGCCTGGACCACACTCCCGGGACATCCCAGGCCTCAGGCTGGCAAAACATTTCAACACACCGGGGGGCAGTTGGGTGGCATGCGTGTGGCTTTTGTTTTTGTGGTTTGCTAAAGCTCTAGGTGAGTCTGACTGCTGCTAGCGTTGAAACTGCAATCTAATTGTCCCTTCTCACTCTAGCATTCTGACTGAGCAGCACCTCACGCTGTGTGCCTTATTCCCCATGAGCACTTGGCACGGTGGAAGAGTGATTTTATATAAGGGAATTTTCCAGATATCTGGGTAATATTCCTTTTAGCATCTGCTTTTTAAAACTGTCCCTGTGGTTTTTCTTCTTTAAAAATAATTCAAGATATTTTTTGTTCCATAACTTACTATGTTAACATTCTTTCCCAACAAATAAGAATACATTGAATATAGAGTTTTATATCAAAAGATAATAGAATGGACAAAACCATGAAGATGAATCACTTGGTTTTAGCGTAGGGAATACATTTGAAGTTGTACAATAACACATCTAAAAGGTTTCACCAGTCATGTCCATTTTTACTTCCACAAAATTGCATTCATTGATCATTTAATAAAAAATAGATACCTATTTTAAATTATTTAGATTACCCACTAGCACACATCCTCACTCAGTAGGGACTGGTGAATGAGGTCAAAATCTTTGGGATGTTTCAAAGTCACCACTACGTTGTTGTGAGGTGCCGTTGATTGGCTCTGACAGCAAGGAACCCCGCCTGGTCCTGCGCCGGCCTCGCAATTGTTCCCGTTGAGCCCAGTGCTGCAGCCACTGCGGTCAAGCCATCCCATCCAGGGCCTCCCTCGTTGTCGCTGTCCCTCCGCTTTACCGAGCATGATGCCCTTCTTCAAGGACTGGTCCCCCTGGCAACATGCCCAAGGTATATACGATGGAGTCTCACCATCCTTGCCTCTAAGGGGAACTCTGGTAAGACCTGTCTGTCTTTCTTGCAGTCCGTGGTATTTTCAAAATTCCTCCTCAGCACCAGAGTTCAAACACATCTGTTCTTCTGTCTTCCATATTTAGGGTTCAGCTTTCATATGCACGTGAGGCAACTGAAAATACCCTGGCCTGGTATTCCTTGCTTTTCAACACCCTAAGGAGGCCTTGGCAGCAGATTACCTCATGCACCGCATCATTTGATCTCTTGACTGCTGCTTCCATGAGAGAAAACACAACAAAACAGAATCCCAGAGCTACCTCAGACTGGTTCAGAAGCATTAATGTTAGGACCCAGGCATCTGAATTTCTGAGATGCTCTAAAGCAACGGTTCTCAACCTGTGGGTTGTGACCCCTACGGGGGTCGAATGACCCTTTCACAGGGGTCACCTGATTCAAAACAGTAGCAAAATTACAATTATGAAGCAGCAATGACAATAATTTTATGGTGGGGGGCGGATCACCCCAGCATGAGGGTCACAGCATTAGGAAGGTTGAGAACCACTGCTGTAAAGTGACATTTACCAAAATGTGGGAATCACTGCACCAAAACATGTCACACCCTTCCAAAAATGTGGCTCATCACCAACCCTGTCTCAAGATGGTGAGCAGGGAGACCTTCATCAGATGCAACGCAGGCTTCAAGCCCCTTGCGTACAGCAATGGAAACACGCTGTTGCCTTTCCATAAATGAAGCCCCGGTCCATTTTGCCAATAAGATAACTGTTGACCTTCTAAACAAGGTGCCAGGCAATGGGCCTTTCCCCTCCTTTCCCCTGGCATCCCACGACGAACACTGCCTACTCTTTCAAGTGTGAGACTGTGAGCTGGGCACCATGCAAAGTCGGGTGGTCACAGGCTTCCCTGATTGAACGGCAGTAACCCAGGCCTCTCTCACTGCAGGGGCCTCAGCCTCCTCTCACCCACCCCAGGGCCTCAAACCTCAGAGTAGGAAGATTCCGTTCCCTCGCCTCCTCATTCCTACAGGAACGGTTGGATGAAGACAGCGCCCTTTAATCTAGCTCTGATGCGACGTCTTGCTCTGTTTCGTTCATCACTATGTGCTGTCCCAAGAAGCTGTGGGTGGTGGCTGCTCTCTCCAGACCCCCGGGTGCGAGGTTACTAGAGAGATGCTAGCTCACAGGACAGGAACTTCTTGGGCATTTTTCTCTTTGAGTTCACTCTGACCATGGAAGAGAGGGGGGTCAGGATTTCCCTGAAGGGAACACATCTAAGAAAGCGGAACTTAGCAGAGCCCAGCTTCTCCAACAGCACAATGGAGACTCCCTGTGGATGATGAAGAATTTCCAAATAAAACTGCTTCCCACAAAGACTTCCAACAGATCCATGATCACCAGGAAAAAAAAAAAAAAAAGCTGCCTTGACAACTAAAATTGGGAGCATCCATCATTCTTTCCTATCACCACTCATCCGCCCCTTTTTGTACATCTGCCAGGGTCATATGAGCCCCAATTCATCTGTCAGTTATTCATACCTTGATGACTCGCGTGTTGCTGGGATACTGGAAACTATATCGCCAGTGCTTCATAAAGCAGCAGGGTCACACACGGTGAACAAGATTCTGCAGAGCTTCCAGACTAAGAACTCCTCCTACTACCCCATGCCATCGAGTCAATTCTGACTCGTGGTGACCCTATTTGCATGGCAGAACTGCCCCCTGGGCTTCTGAGACTGCAACTCTTTATGAGAGTAGAAAGTCTCAGCTCTCCCTTGCAGAGTGACCGGACTAAGACTAAACAGTCTAAAGATAAGGAATAAATTGTTCATTTCTGAGGGATTGACCACTGAACACCTTATGAACGGCAATGAGTATTTTCTGACGTAGTGCCAGAAGAAGCCCTCAAGTTGGAAAGACACTCAGCATAGGACCAAGCAGACCTGCCTCCTCACCCATCCTCTGCCATTGAATTGACCCGACCCATAGCAACCCTCTATAGCATTTCCAAAGTGGTAGTGTTGACTGGAGCAGACGGCCTCGTCTTTCTTTTGTGACTCAGCTGGTGGGTTTGAATCATCAACCTTGTGGTTAGCATTGCAATGCTTACCCAACTGCACCACCAGGGCTTGCTCAACGAAGTGATAGAGCAAAGCTTTCAGGAGCTTCACGTATTGATAGATTCTAACTCAATATTAGAAGAAATTGCAGACATCCATTAGTTTCAAAATGTGGTATGTTTGAAGTATGAATCTATGAAAACTAGAAGTCATCAAAAATGGAATGGAATGCATACATATTGATATCCTACGCATTAGTGAGCTAAAATGTACTGGCATCAGCCACTTTGAATCACACAAGCCTATTGCTTACTATGCTGGGAATGACAAAAGACGTGGCAGTCATCATCAGCAAAGAACATTTCAACACACGCCTTGAAATGTAGTGCCAGATGTAATAGGATAATATCCACATGCCTACAGAGAAGACAGTTCGTACAAATATTATCCAAATGTACATACCAACCCCAAAAGCCAATGATGAAGGAATTAAAGAATTCTACCGATTTCTTCAGTCTGAGAACTATCATACATATTATTAAGATCTATTGATAATTAGTGGTGATTGGAACATGAAATTTAGAAACAGAAAGGGAAATTGACAGCTGGAAAATATGGTCTTGGTAATAGAAACAAAGATGGAGATCATGTGATAAAATTGTGCAAAATCAGCGACTTCTTCATAGCAAATACTATTTTTCAACAAAGTCAACGACACCTGTGAACATGGCCTCGCCAGATGGAATACACAGAAATCAAACTGACTACATCTGTGGAAGGAGACAACGGAGAAGATCTCCGTTGTTGTTAGTCGTGGCGGTGGTGCCATCGAGTCAGTTCTGACTCATGGTGACCCTATGTCCGAAAGAAGGAGAAACTGCCTGGT